CCCGCCAGCGACGCCTTCGGGAGGCCGTGGATGTTCGCCCCCGACGGCCCACGACCCACAGTGCGGCCGCCACCAAAGAGCGCCGGCCGCGCGCCCCTTGTGTGCTCTTGCATGTGGTGCGAAACAGGTTCAACGGAGATGAGCGTGGCGAAGAAGAGCCAGACCGTGCGTACAACGGAGAGGAAGAAGTCAACGAAGCTAAACGGCTTGCGGTCCACGACCTTGCCATTCACGACGTAGGGCATTCTTTCTGCCAGCTACTTGTAGCTGCGGACCAGAATAACTTTGAGGATTACTTTCTGCGTCCACAACTCTCTTTGGAGAGAATGTGAGGGACAGAAACAATAACAAAATAGAAGAGAAAGGGGGGAGAAAAAAAGAAAAACAAATACAAAGCCAGAACAATATGCAGGGAGACAAACCAGTTGATGGCTGCGTACACGCATACCCATATGTGTATGATGTGTATTTTTAGTCGGCAGACATTAAGCATCTCCCACTTCCTCTTCATGCTGCTTTCCCCGCAGAGCAGTCATTGGCTGGCCGCTGTCCAGCGCCTGCAGCAGCACGCAGGCTCGACAAAGTCGTCGACTCGTCACGTAACCACACCGAAGGCATGAGCCCTGAGGGTTCTCCGGGGCAGCATCTTTCTCCTTCACACGCAAACGCTCACCGGAACGGATGGTGTCAAGAATGCAACGTGGTTGAAGCGACTCCATCTCCTTGAGTAACACACGCGCCTCACTACGAAAGGCCTCCTTGCTGTACGAGCACTCTGTGGTGAAGTAATCCAATTGTTTGAAGTGTGCGTAGAGAACAATCTCTTTCTCATAGGCATACTTGAGCGGCTTCACACGCGGTACGAGGCCATCTCCGGCGGTGGCGGCACTCGTGCAGCGTGAGAGGCGCGGGAGGTCAGCACGCAGAATGTTCATAAGGATTGTCTCGGCCAAGTCGTCGGCGTTGTGCCCCGTCACAATTTTTGTTGCGCCGAGCATCGCCGCGCCGCGGTCGAGTGCCTGACGGCGGAACACACCGCAGAATGTGCAGCTGTTGCGCAAGCCGGAAAGCTGCACCACCTCATCCATCGTCCAACCGTACAGCTCTTTGTACGACAGCACGCGCAGAGGAAGTTCGTACTGCGCCGAGTTGCGGTGCACCGTCTTGAGACTATCGTCACGGTAGCCGGCTATGCCCTCGTCTATGCTCAGCAGTAGCAACTGCACGCCATACACATGGCGCTCGTTCAGCAGCTTCATCAGGTGCATCAGAACCGTACTGTCCTTGCCACCACTAGCGCCACATGCCACGATGTCCCCGGGAGTGAAGAGTCTTTCAGACACGATGGTCTTGTGCACCTCGTCCTCAAATAGGCGGAAGAAACAGCACTGGCAAAGAAGTTGTCCGTTTCGGGGTCGCTTTAGCACAGCTCTTTCAACATTACAGTGGGTGCACAGACGGCGCGGGGGCATTTGTCACTCAGCCACTCTCCGCCGCACAGACACACACTCACACACACAGAGAGAAAGAGAGAGAAACGGAAGTACCTCTTCTCAACAACGAATAATACAATACACTTCTTGTGTATATGTCTGTCCCTGAATGTGTATGTGCGGCTGCTTGTCGAGATGGCAGTGATGAGTGGAAGAGGGCGTTGAAGACATTCTTAAGAGAGCAAAACAAAGAAACAAAGGGCACACGCTGCCACGCCATCATTGTCATCAACAATTGTACACAAACAGTCTTAGACATGTCCATTGGACGGCACAGTTCATGGTTGGTGGCACACCGAAAATCTAGCACTGACATCAGCAGCAGCAGCAGCAGCAGCAGAAATCCTTTTGAAATCACGCAGCCCTCACCCTTCAGAGAGGGCTGAAGCCCTTTATCGCCAATATGTCGCTGTCGTTGCTGTCGGTGCGTGAATCACAGCCACCGGCTGTAGGTGGAGAAGTTGTGCCACCGCCTCACCCGTATCCTTGTGTAGAAAAGGTGTTCCGACCGGTAATTGATGCAATTCACGGCTGCCAGCTCCACTCCAGGGTGCACTTTTCCTGGTATCCCTTGAGATAATCGATATGTTCTCTCTGGAGGCACCCGCGAGGGCGCTTCTATCGACTCCACGGCACGGTGTATTGCGCTGTTGCTGTGACGACGCTTTTGACGCACGCAGCAACGCATCCTGAGCATACGTCTTTTGCTGCAAACCACCTGACATCTCTGGTGTCAGGTAGTTTCTTAATCGTCTCTCCATGACCTGCACGCCATAGTGAGCGGCCTCTGCGCTCTTGGTAGCGCCAGCAACTAACGAATAGAGGGTCGCTATCTCCGACCGCATCTTTGCTAGAACGTCTTCAACTGCCGCTGCAGACTTTTGTCGCGCGCGTCTCTCCACCTCCAACGCTTCGCGAAGTTCTCTGCTTGTCGTCTCTAACTGGAAAACTCTCTCTATAAGCTGAGGATCCGCAACTGGTGCGATGTAACCGTCGCTGCCGTTATTCTCTCTCCCACCCTCATTTATCTCGTCGTGGGTTCTGCAGTTACGCTCCTTGTTCCACGTGTCCTTGGGTAATGAAAGTGGTGATGTTGAGATAGGGGAATCGTCGGTCTTCCTAAGCTGGTCACTGCCAAACGCATGAGGAGGTGACGGTAGCGAAGCGGAACTGCAACGCACACGGGGGCGTCGCTTGGGCTCGGGGTAAGACCACAAATCGAGCACCTTCACATCTGTTGGCGTTGGTTGCTCTACAGACGCTGGGCGTAAATCCACGCGAACTGTTGGCGCACACGTGTTACTTGGGGAGCGCGAGGGAATCCGCATGTCCATGCACGGGTTCGGATCGATGTTGTAATCAGTGCCACCAGCAGAGCGACGGTGGCTCTGCGCAGCTTCAGTGGAGCCGGTTCTCTTAACGTCATCCCGACTGGGGCAGCTGCTACACAGTGAAATATGCGTCCACATGGTAGAGAGACTGAACTCCTCACCACAGTAGGGACACGCCGGGGGAATGCCCATTGTGTCGCACGAGTGGAAACGCAGCCCGACCTGCACCCCTTTACCGTTCCCAGAAGATAGCACAAGCAAGAAGAGGCTTGTAGGAATGGCAGGAGAACGAAGAAGAGACACAAAATCGTTCCGTGCTCAAATACTCAAACACATCAGCATTAAAAAAAGCGGGACAACACACTGTTTCCCTTTCTTCATTCACTTGCTTTCCTTTCCCCTCCTGAAGGCGCGAGATACCCAAGCAGAGACATTAGTGTGTCAAGCCTCTCTTGTGCCGTTGCCGTGGTGCCGGCTTTACTTGCTCCTTCGCTCTAGTGGGCAGGGGAGCCAACTTGTGTGCAGGATTAAAAGACGGACCACGCATTTCCTCAACACTCCCGTCCACTTCCTCGATGGAAACGGCACGCTGTCTAGATTTTGAAGCAAGTCTAGTTATAAGAGGTGAGGCGTCTCGAAGACCCAAAGCGTTAGAAGGAGACTTATCCCTGCCCTGAAGCGAAACCCTCTCCACAGTGAGCGTCCCTAACATAGAGTGCCTCGTCTCCGCCTTGGTAGAAAGGGATGGCACCAGCGTCGCCACTTTAAATGAGCTAATGCGCCTCTGCTTGGAGGGGCTGGAGACCTCGCTAGGATCATACACCACCTGCTTTGCCTCAACCAAGCGCTGCTGCTGCTGCTGCTTCGACGTTGTGACGTTCTCCAGCCGCGTAGGCACCACACGCTGCCGCGGCGCTGCGTTCGGTGAATGCACCTCACGGGAGTGCGACTTTGTCCCCGCTAGCGGCAGTGGCACCACACGCCCCACCGTTCTGCCACGGCGTAGCGCTGGTCCAGTCGTTGGCCGCCGCCGGTTCACCACGCGGCCTCGTGGTGATCCCGACTCAATAGAGAAACACGACCCGTGATCAGCGTAGCACAGACGTAGCGCCGCCGGTGGTCTGCCATGCACCTCAGGTTCCTTCGTATTCAGCTGACACGATTCCGGTCCAGCATACTGCTCCATAATCCATGGCACCGCCACTGTTCGCCACAGCATGTCAAAGAAGGCCTCTACAACCTGCTGGGTCGCCGCATCGCAAGCATCCCCCGTGTTGCTATCAGTGATCATTACATCTGTTGCTTCACTGCTATTGTCACTCGATACATCGACGTGCTCTGTACAGTGAGCACCCGTTCGATCACTGGTCAATCCACTCGTCGTGTCTCCGGCCTCCTTCACCCCGAAAAACAAGGGTTTCCCGGCACCCAACGCGTTTGAAAGGCTTACTGATGCTTCACCTACAGGAAGCGCCAACCCTGACACATGCAATGAATTTACCGCAATGCATGACCGCCACTCATACACCTCACTGTTCAAAACGCCCTGGAGGAGATGCTCGCCACGCGCCGGTCTGTAAGGATTCCAGTCTGTTCTTGGCCCCCGTACAGCATCTGCAAGGGCATCTTCGCTACGCACGCAATCCAAGAGGCGTTGCCACAGCTCCCCCAGCCTCCGCTCCATGGTGCTCTCGAGGAGCTCACTGAACCCGACGCACCAGCCGTAGTTACGGGACCTCTGCTCAGAGGCCATTCATTGACTGTCAGCGGTTGGAGTATATATGTGTGGGGGCCTATACTCTGGGCGTACGCACGCGTGTTATTTTTTGCTTTCGTGCAAGCAAAATTAGCGGCAGCAAACGGAGAAAAGATGAAGTGGGACCAAACAAGAAAAAAAAAACGAAATAAGAATAGAGAAAGCACAAATCACTCAACGAATGGACAATACCTTGTCATGCGAAATAAATGAGCGGAGGGAAGACATCAGAGTAAAAGCCACATACAGGCACAAAACCGAAAACGAAAAGAGAAATGAAGCGAAGTAATAACCGATAATGCCCTCACTAGCTTATGCGCCTCGAGGTACGGCACCATGTGAGAATACGCACGTCACCACTTGACCCATTACCAGTAGAAAGGATGCTTGGCGCTCGTTGCAGTCGTTGTTATTCTGTTCGTCTTTGCTTTGCCTTTCTGTTTTCTTTTGTTGCACTTCATCTATTTAATGAAGAGGGGGGAGAGAGCGACGACGCCGGAGGTCTAGGCACCTTCTTCTTTTGCATCCGCCAAAGCTTGGCGATGGCCGCTACCCGCTTGTTGTACTTCATCTTCTGCACGGCATGCGCGTGCGGGTGTCCTTTTGACACACGCCCCTTCCCACCACAGCCCCCCGCCTTCACACGTGGCGACGTGCCTGTCGTTGGCTTCGCCGACCTTCCGCCACTACTACTGCGGCTGCTACTATTCTCTCGTGCTGCCTGGCGGCGTGTCACCTGCTTCGCCGCTACGGTCTTCGCAGCCCTTGTACTGGATGCATTCCTCGCGTCGCTCCTCTTTGCCGCACTCTTCGTCAACGGCACCGCAGCAGCAGTCCTGCGTGAAGGGAGTGCAGCCCGCCGCACCACATTCGTTAGAGATGAATGCACGGCACCACGCGAGGCGGCGCCGCTTCCGCCCATCCACTGCCTCGCGCAGGACGGCAACAGCAGCGCGCTACCGCCTCGCGGCGTGCAGAGGCGACGCAGCATGTGTCGTGTTTTTTGTAAATTAAAAACAACGACGGGGTAGGAAGAGGAGGAGGCGGAGGAATGGAGCAGAGGAAGGGGCAACACGTCCCGCGCCCCACAGCCTCTCGCACTCCCCTTGCCGCTGGACGATAGAAAGGACTATGTCCTTTGCACCGAGCCCCTTCAACCTGCCCAACCATTCAATGGTGTGGGCGATGTTGTGCAAGAAATGCGCAGGAGAACATGAAGAGCACAGAAAAAAAAAGGAAGAGCAAGGAGCAAGAAGTGAGGCATGCAGCTGACGCAAATAAGCAAGGTTCTGCACTATCAGCGGTACAAACAGAAACACAAAGTATAGCTCAGACTGCCAAGACCACCGATGATGAAAGTCACAATACTAATAACGCTATTGCCGGTATTGTTTAGGACTTTCGCAGCAGCGCACCCACCACCACCGCGACGGCAGCAATGATGCCAACTCCCGCCAACCCTGTCGCCGTCAGTGTCTGTTTCACCTCCGCATCAATGTAGTGTTTTAGTGCGATCCCCTGGCGGTGTTGTGGTTCGAGTCGAAGCATCTGATTAACGGATGTTAACGCCTTTTCGTAGTCGTGAAGCTTGATCCAGCCCAACGCGAGGTAGTAGTAGTGGATAGCAATGTCGGCGGTGGGCCTGATGTTTCTCCGCCCCGTCTTGCTATCTGTCGCCGCCACATCGCCATCCTGCAGGCCTTCGGGAGGGGCGGAGGCTGACACGTGCACTTCACCCCGTGGGATGTCCGAGTGGGGCAACTCCGGCTCGCCAGCCAGCCGGACCGCCTCGTCCAGCTGCGTGTGCGCCGCGCCATCCCACTGTTGTTTCCACGCCGCGCATATCAGCGACTCAACGAGGCGCACGCCCTCTTCAATGTACGAGGCGCGAGAATGCGAGATCAGCAGACGCGCATACTCAAAGACAACCTCATGGTTAGTTGGGTCCATTGTGTATTTGGGGCGCACACGGCCAATGGCGTCGTTCAATCCACGCAACTCCTCCTGCGAAGGCGACAGCAACTGCCTCACATTTGGATCCTTGTTGAAAAGCTCATTGAGAACTGCTGTTGCCTTCTCCATTTTTTTTTTCTCTTTCTTGTCGCTTCCTTACAATTTGCTGCACTCAATACACGTTTCCAGAGCTCAAGGTCCTTTGGTGATTATGCGTTGGTTGGGTCAACAAAGACACACGCACACAGAGACAGAGACAGGCGCGCACACACACACACACGCCCAAGAGAAATGGAAACAAAACAAAGCTATCAGGCCAAAGACAGTCGTCCATCTCGTGTCGCAAGAAACTGTGCAGTGAAGAGAAATCAATCTTTGCGATTTCTTCTTTTCCTGTGTTTAACTCTCGAAGATCCCATTCTTGGTGCTATGATTATGCTTCCCCTTACGTGTTACGGAGAATCATCTTGGGCCAACTTTAGTGTCTCTTTCAGTGTCTTAGTGAACTCGGCGCCCCGTGCCGCAGCCTGCGGGCCAGTGTATTTCAGTAAGTATGTCGAAACCTTGTCGCCGACCGGCATCGCAAAGATCAGGTGTGTGTCCTCAGCCTTGGTGACATGAAAGTTGGCGCACAGCACTGCATTAAGATCGTAACCATCACGAAGAATCAGTCGGTAGGCATTCTTCGTTGCTTTGTCGTTGGCATTCGGGGACACGTGCTGTTTTACCCTCGCGTCGCCGGCACCACACTCTACCCAGGTCTTTGTCTCCAGCTTGAAGACAAACAGCTTGGCCGGCGCAGACGCGAGCACAGTGCCCGTGGAGGGAATGAGAGGGGCCGCATTTGCGAACGCGTCGCTGGTGGCAGTGGTGGTGGTGGTGTTCGACTCTGGTGGTGTTGATGTCTCCTGCACGCCGTCTTCGGCCTTTGCCATCCGCTCCTTAGCCTCCGCGAAGGAATTCACCACACCAGCGAAGTTAAATGCCCCTCCGAATAGAGACGTCTTCGCACCGCCGATACTGCTCTCGTTGTTGTCGTTACTGTCATTCTCCTCCTTTTTAGTCTCGGTATCGTTCTTCTTTTCATTATTATTGATTCCAAAAGAGAACTTCACGGGTGCGGTGGAGCCAGTTAGAGCCGAATTAAATCCTGACGAAAAGGAGGGAGCAGCTGCAGTGGTGATAGCGCTACTACTGGTGCCGCCACCGCCGGTGTCGCTGTTGGTGGTGTTGCTATCGCTGCCGAGTCCGAACTTCGTGGCAAGGGTCGGAGCGCCTGTGGGCGTGATGCCGGTCACCGCCTTAAACGCACCGGCCAGTGACGGTGCCGCAGCACTCGACGGCGGGTCGCGTCGCACACGCACAATGCGGCGCTGTGCCATTGTTGCCGCATCAGCATACTTCGGCGTGTTGTCAAGTTGTTCCTCGTCCCTATCTCCCTCCTCCACAATTGCCCGCTTTTTGCGCAGCCTCAGCTCGTCCTCCATTCACGTGAACAAAGAGGTGCTATTCTACAATGGAGTCTCACACTGCAAGTCCAGAGAGTGCATGGAAAGTGCGAGAGAAAGTAAACAAAAGAAAAACACGCTGATGTATCAGATATCCGAAAAAAATACGCGAGTACGAATATGAAACTGTACCGCATTCATCCCCACTTGGTCACGGTTGCGAGACTCCAATAGGGAGCAGATGCAAACAAACAAATATATATATATATATATATATATATATACTCTTTCGCTGGCCATTCATACAATTTACATCATTATGATGTCGCGTCACAGACGAGTAGTGGTGTGTGGTCGCGTCACAACTCACTTTTTTCTCGAGCTGCTCGCGTCCGACTTTTCAAGCTCTAGCTCTAGAAGACTGGTGTGGGTCTTTGGTGGAACGCCGCCTCCAAACACTACGATGCGCTTTCCCCGTTCACTGGCGCACCCCACACAGCCCCTGCGCCCTGAAAGCTCCTCCTTTTCGAGCGACAAGAGCGACCACTTGAAATCTGCCATAGACAGCTGAAGGATCTGCGGAATAGGACCCTTCTCATCCTCGCCTAGGCAAACAACAAGATAGCCGTTCGACATCGCTGCGACACAGCCCTGGCGCCTTGATGGCACCCCGAGACACGGCTGGCACATCCACGTGTTCTCACCGCCGCGCAGCGTCAGTATGTGGAGGTCACTCTGTAGACATGACGCAAACCCTCCAAAAACGAGAATCCGCTCATTTATCCCGTCAAATGCAACGGCGGCATCGTCCCGTGGTGACGGTGGGGTCCCACCTTTTGCCTCAATCAATTCCCATGTCGCCTCACCCTTCTCAAGCAAGGGACCCAGTCGAAGTCGCCAGACATCATTCAACCGCCGTTCACCATCAAAGCCACCAAACACGTATACTACTGGATTTTGAGATGCATCCTCCTCACCGCCCATTGTGCCCAAAACCATAGAGTGACAGACACGGGCAGATGGTGTCAAACCCGTAGACCGCACCAATGTCCATACACTAATAAGTGGCTCCTTATTATTTGTGGCAGCCATGTCTTGGCTTTTTGGCGCAAGCAGCCACAGATTCTTGCTGTACGTCTCGTCATTCCAGCCACCAAACACAAGGCAGTAGTCCCCAAACGCAACAGCCGATGCATTTCGCAATCTCTCGGGCAGTGTCAGCCCTTTTGACCATTGTTTTGTAGACAGGTCAAACTCCATAAGCTGCGGAAGGCTGCGACCCGTCCGTGGATCATAGCCGCCACAGAGGTAGACCTTCTTTTCGGAGCACGCCATAGCACTCCCGAGCACTTCCTTCACGGCCCCGCTAGGTTGAGGAGAGGCTCCGCCCTTTGTGGATGTGTTCTCCGACCATTCGTATTTGTTTAGCCTTCGATGGACAGTGTCAGCCGCCATGCCTCTGCCTATCAGAGGTCATCAATGAAAGAAATAAAGATATAGAGGGGGAAAAAAGAAAAAGGGCGACCGCATCCACGAGAAAATTTGCAAGTTGCATCTCCTATAGTGGAGGGAGTTGCAATACATAAAGACACTAACAAATAAGGAAAGACATAATCACAAAGGAGCCAACTATCAACAAAACACTAGGAGGTAGCGCAGCCTCCCACTACGATCCTTTGCCAGGAACGGAGCGCCCTCTTAACTTTCATGGGTCTTTTTTTTTTCGTTTTGTTTCTTTTTGGGTGGTTTTTTCATTCTGTTTTTTTTTTGTTTTCATCCTTGTATATTGATGACGCTAGTTTTCCCTTCCCTCGGCGTTGACGTCAAGTGCTACATGACGCAACACTTCGAGTTCGCTTTTGAGTATCCGATGCGCCCACGAACTCGTGACTCCAGAGATGGAGGGATCCTCGCTCCACCCGCAATAAGGAAATCAACGAGGGTATCTATATCCGCCGGGGTAAAGCAACCAAAGCACACACCACCGTGCTTTGTGTACACCAGAACATTACCTGCATAGATGTGGCCGCCAATGTGGGAGCAGGGGTATACATGAACGAACTCATTGCTTCCCTCCTTGGTCTTCATGGACTGACGAAGGAGGTCCACCAGAACTGCACCGCAATACCCACAGCGGCTATCTCGAGTCCGGTGTGCACAGACAAAGACAAACACTTCGTTTGAGCGATCGCAACTTATCGCCCCCTTGGACTCCCAAGGAAGGGCCCCCTCCGAGATGCAGCTGTATTGTGTGATGATGATGGATTCAAGGGCCTCGTCACACTGAAACCGCAATACGCACGCATCGGGGCCGGGGCGATGGTACACCGTTAACTTCATGCCTCCCACTTCTTTCAGTGATTTCTCTAGCGAGCTGTGGCCAGGGACATTCTCTGTCCTAGGTCCCCATTTTGACGCGGATAAATCCGTGGCAAGAAAGATATGCTGCGTGAACAGCATGCTACCTGGAAGCTTTGACGGCAACGGTCCGCAGCACTCCTCCCTTCCGAAGCCAAACTTCGCCGGGTCAAGACCTTCAATATCCTGCAGAGTTTCTTTCGAGAGGCGGACGACGATAGAGTCGTGAAGATCATCGGTGCTTGTCATTTTCTTCCGATACTTTTGAAATCAATTCTGTGCAACAGAAAGGGCAAAACAGCATACTCAGCAAGGCGACTTGGGACCATAGATGAAGCTCTCTCCACCACCACCAACACCAACACCAACACCTTCACCGCCACCAACAGAACAAGTACCTGCCTCTCTGTCTGTCTGTCTGTCTGCCTGCCGTAGTAGTGGCGGTCGTAACAGCAGCAACAAACAGCGTCGTTCTCGCCACGCATAAGTGCTACAGCAGGCAGTCAACATTTTCCTCCTCCAGAAGCACACATACACACTAATGATCCACTGAACTCCCGTCCTGAACGACTGACCTGGCACTCAGTGGATCAGTCAGCCTCGGTCTCTTCAACATCGTCTTGGGAACACAATAAGGAAACACGAGAGTGTTGCACACTGGGTTGAGGGATTCCTCTCCAACTACTTTCGTCTCCCAACTCCGTTCCTTGCGCAACTTCCCTATTTTTGCCAGTTCCAACTGGCGCTGACGGTGGGCCGAAAGTCGATCATGAAATAACACCATTAGCGGTGGAACAGCAAACTCAAATTCTCTCTCGTTGAGTGAGCCGTCTGTTTGAATTGTCAACGTCTTGTGGAAGCGCGGAAATCTTGAACGCTCAATACAAATTTCCTCCGCAAACATTCCTCGGTTTTCCAGATGTTGCATGTCACTTGTGTGGCGATCCTTTATGAAGGAACGCAGTACATACGGTATTTTGTAGTCCGAAGGACGCAACCGAGGGTGTGAAGGAATAACACGAGCAAGAGGGCGCAGTCCCGGTGGTGGGGGCGCGCTCTTGCTGACCACCGCCCACTTGTGCAATACCATTGATCTATATTCACCCTGTTGGCGGCCTTCCGCCCCTCTTTGTGCCCTTCCCTCTCTTAGCGGCGAAACAGTACGCAACAGAAGAAAAAGGATGCTATGCAACACTACAATAATAAGTGATTTACACCTCATCAGCCATCGATTTAGATGTTTTTTTGTTTGATTCCAATTCTCCGTTTTTTTTTTTTTTGCACGCGAAGAGACACAGCAGAAGCACAAACCCCCATCCCCTTTATGACGCTCTACTCGCGCTGAGCAGCGTCCCTGGGGAAAGCGTACGGAACGTTTCACCTGCATCCCATATCGACAACAACAGCGGAGAGGGCAGGTCCATTCTGCCCAAGCTCCCCGACATGTACTCCATACTCTTCACTAGTGTCGTGAAGCCCATGAAGCTCTCCACGTAAGAGAATAAACCCCCCGTTGAGGGATGCAGCGTAAGAACGCAAATAGAAAGGAGGTCAACATCTTGTACTGTTTCAATGCAGCCGTCCATCAACATGCGACAGCTCTCGTTAACAAGAGCCGCCACAAGTCGCACAAGAATATCCCCACGTGTCATCGTCCTTCGCGCTGCCAGAGACATTGTAACCTCGCAGTTGAGGTGCCCACTCCGCTCATAGAATCCCCCGCGGCAGCCCCTCTCGCCCTTAAAACCCTCAGTATGCATGGCCGACAGCAAAAGCCGCGCCGCGGACACGGACTTTCGTGCATCCATCATGTGTCGATAACGTTGAACCACACCCGCAATCTGAGCCGTACCGTAGTGATCCAGGACCTCGAACGGGCTGAGGCGGAATCCCAAATCTTGCATAGCCACGAGTTCGACGAGCTTCACCTCCGTCTCTTCGGCCAGCTGGCAAAGCTCCAGAGACAAAGCCGCGACGAGACGATTGCCAGCATCTCCCTTCGTCACAATGTAAGGGATCTCACTCGCCTGCAAGTATGCCAATGCGGAGGAGAGCGTTTCCTCTTTTTCTCTGGTGCTCACAGACGGAGTATGCAGCAGCTGCACCTCCACCATACTTTCCTCGCCTGATGAAAGCAACTTCGGCGGGTCAAAATTAGTAGCGACCACAGCACAACCCAACAGCTCCACTGCGTCCTTCATATCTTCTAATTTTCCAAACAAAAGAGCGTTCCTAGTCTTACCAGCCCCAGAAGTACGTTGTTCCGCAATAAACTGAACTGTTGCAGGCGAAGAGCCCTCCGGAAATACCCAAAAAGCCTCACTAGTATTTATGTTACCAAGGTCGGCAGGCCGCAACTCAACATATTTCTCATGTGGTGCTGGTTTGAGCACTCGGCGCCCCATACGGAGGAATGCCATCGTCACCGCCGTCACATTCTCACACGCCGGAGTTCCCAAGAGACTCGCATATAGGTCAAGGCTTTTATCAGCGATTGCAATGACATCATCCGTGAGACCCACAATTTTGCAGTAGTCATTCCAAAAAACCTTCAAAGGATCACCAGGTCTATCTTCTAGGTGTCGCACCGTATCCCACCCAAGAAATGCGCGCATTTTTCGACAGCACTGCATATGGGATAGCCATACATAACCCCACAGACGCGGCGCACTGCGGACGGCATTCTGCTTCCTCCGCAAGAGCGGTCCGATAAATTTTTTCTGTGCCTCTTCCCAAGTCAGCGTGTGCAGGAGTGGAAGGACCTCACCAGCTCTCTCCGGTGAGCCCATGGCATTGCACATGTGCTGGAGTACACATGGTGCCGGCCACACCCCAAGGGAAAGGGAGGGAAACCCCACCCGCATCTTGCATAGAGAGGACATCGACGGCACTACTGTATCACATATTAAGAGAAGCTCTGCGCCGAAACCGAATGCGGAGCCAGTTAGCTCCGCAGTGAAAGAAACACCACAAGATGCAATCTCTCGCATGCGTCTAAATAATCGTTCTTTTTCCGTCATTAATTCAAGACGAGATAATGGTGTTAATTCCAACTCAGACTGCAATGGTGTGAAGAACGGCATATTGGGCAGAGTACGGAATACCACAACAACGCCAGAAGTCAACTCTGTCAGAGTTTCCACTTCGGATAAGGCTTGACACACCGCAGCAACGATGGCGCGCACGGAGCCTGGCTGCTCTCGAAGCTCCACAGCAAAAACCCGGTCTGACGTGGATGAAACATGCAGTTTAGTGCCAACATCGGACAGTTTGAGGTCCGGTGGATCCGACCAGCATGAGAGCATTGCACGATGACCACCAATAACATCAGCAAAGCAGCCGGCAGAATGTTCCATCTCTTGGGAATCCGAGTTCACATGCTGCGGTTCCTTTGCGTTATCTGAAGCGGTGGCAGTGCTCTTGTTGATGTCTTCATTCTCCGTATTTGAGAGGCTGATGTCACAGTCTTTAGGCTCTATCTCCTTCGTTTCATCTTCTGAGAGCTTAAAGAGTGCACTTTCCAGCTCTTGTAAAGTGCATGCGATGTCAGTGAAAGTGGGCAGATCTTGTATCACTACTGAGGCGGGTGGAGAACCCCCGACCACTACTTGGGGAGTTGGAGTTGAAAGTGGATTATCCTGTAACGTAGCTTCTGGTTTGGTTGTTGGTTTTGTTGTTTTGGTTGCTGTTGCCGTCAAAGTTATTGCTGGTTCCCGTCGCAACTTGGAGGCCAAAACATGGATTTTACGTTCTCCACGTCCACGTCGAGCACGCAGATCATTAATTTCTCTGAGTAATCCGTCAAACTCTCTTCGAGGCTCTCTCGACGGAGAACTGTCATGCGCCCCTTTGGATGGATCTGCTGTAATGTGCCGCATTGCATAAGGCAGCATGCACCACACCGGGGAACGCGGGATGGGGCAGCGGCGCCTCATCTTACGCTATATAACTCACATCAAATTCAATGGTATACAAAAGAAAACAATACAGAAACAATTCCTTAGCAAACGCTCGTATCGTCATTATTAACGGCAGCATATACAAATACCCCAAAAAGCCTGCAATTGATATTTCCGCAGAGGTGGGGAAAAAGAGTGAATGCTTGCGCTTCAGAATGATGATAGCTCATTGTCACCGAAAAACCACGTCACAACATCCTTTTCCGATGTGTGTGGTTCTACCGAATCCGTCATCGCCTCCAGTGGTGATTTATACAGTGCTGCACATCGAAGAACATCGAAGCCAAACCTCTCCACATTTGCCTTGAAGAGCAGAACGTCCGACACCATCACTGTTCGGAGATCCGCGTCCTGCCCCAGAGAGAGAGTCACCGCACGGATCATTCGAGCAAATGTGCCGAGGAGTGGCACAACGATCCCGCGACAGTCTCTGGGCGGCAGGAGCGGCTTCAGCGCCCGCATCAGCCGCGCTGTCTCCCTCAGCATCGTCATAACCCACTCATTTCCAGAATCCCGCCAACACTCTGACGTCACCGTCCCGAGACCATAAACTTTATCCTTCACCAGTGCGGAAATTTTCTCAAAAAGTTCGCAACGGTATGTCGCGCAGTCCCTACGAACTCTCTCCATGTCCTCAGAAATGGACGGTGACAACTTATCGTCACTAGTCACCAAAAGCCATCGCCTCGTCATAAGTGGAATCCCTTCGTAAAGGAAGGCCAAATTCTGTGAAGCAACAGCCATGTGCTGTATTGTGATAGTCTGCAACACACCGTTCTCCACAGCCATTGCACCAAGAAGAAGTGCAGCACATTGCGACACGTAAAGCTTGAGAAGGTCATACATCTTTCCCATCACATCAAACGCAAGAAAGTGGAATCGTCCCAAGTAGACGTCGTTCTCATGCAGCATCTCAATTAGTAGTAGTAACGACCCGCTTACAATACGTCCTTCTGAATGGCCATTCACCAGTGGAAGCATTAATTGTTTCCTCGTAGGAGTCTCACACTTGTCTGTAGTCTTGCCTCTGGTTACCATTGATGTCGCTACCGCTTCTGCAGATTTTGGCAAGGAACAGATAAGTCTGATGTCACTCGTCACATCAGTAAACGCCGAACGCCCTCGGAGCTCCGCGATGACAGCACTATCACTGCGGCAAAGCGTATCCACGCAGGACTGAAACACCACATCAATGCCTTCATGTTGCCATGTTTCGTTTTCAATAGTTACACGTAGTTTTTCAATACTCTCCATGTGGTGACAACGGAAGTGCTCCTTTGCCAGATGTGTGACGGCGGCCTTGAGCTGCTTCCCTGAAACATATTTCCACGGATCCTCAATGTCCCCGCAGATAGCTAAAACGCCCTGAAAACCACTGACCATATTCGACATGAAGGAGTAACCTAGAGAAACGAGCATCTCGAGATCGTGAACATTCGCCGGTGCTTTGCCACGCTGGCTCCGCACCTCAAGCAGCAAGGCGATGTTACCTTCAGCCGCCGCACACAAAGACGAGAGGTACTTCTTCGTCATGTCTTCCATGTTCGTCCCATCGCCATTCCAGAGCTTTTTCCTCGAAGAACTTTCGACTAAGAGGAGACCCCAGCGCTGGGCTGCCTGACAAACAAAATCAAGAATCTGGTCCACAAGTGAACCGACGAGCTGCATGAATAAAGGGAATCTACACACGTTAGAGTGACTGAGCAGCGCCAGCTTCTCATCACGCGAAGAGTGCGATACTACAGCAGTCGAGAGAAGAGCATTGGCTGTTTCGTCACTAAGTGCAGAATTTCCCATCATGAAAGCAATGAACGCCTCTCGAACATTCATCCACAAAGCGTCAATGAGGAGGATGCGAGACTGTTCCAGAGCTACGGACCATATTCCCATCCCAACAGCAGATAGGAAAACACACGCGACGTAGCCATCCTCAAAAGCCCCCCGCACCGACGGAACAAGTGTGGCCTCTACTTCCCCCATGATCATTGTGCAGAGACGTTCCTTCACACGTGCCACGCGCCGCGGCACATCCCGCAGCGCCACCACTCTTGTCAGCAGGCCTGACGCATCCGAAGTGATGCCACCACCGCTGCTAGTTTTGGTTTCTGAGACATTTTCCGCCATGATGGCATCCTGCAGGGAACAATAGCTCTCAACAACAACCGGCAGCTCCATCATGTCACGCTCAGGAAGCGCCACCCAATTCTCCACGGCCGCCACCTGAGATGAGACCGCCATCACCATCTCCATCAAAGCGCACAAAGAACTGAGGCTGTTGCGAGTCCTGTAATGTCGTGCGATCCTCATCATTTCTCGAACTAAACTCCTGCCAAACACTCCCACATCATCCCTCGTTTGTTGAAGATTATCAAGAGTTTCACGTGCCTCTGCTGCTCGATCGCCGAACTCGTGGGAAGCCGAAAAGAACTGATCAGATCGGCTTTGCACATGCCGCAACAAGCAACCCTCCACAGCACTCTCCCACTGGCGCAGTTCCTTCATTCGCGACTCCATGACCTTAAAATCCTCTCCGAACGATTCCATTGCAATAATGGCGTTATCGCTCTCATCGCCCGAGATTCCCTTGTTCTTTTGTAATTCCTGCTCCATGAAACAAAACTCGCTTGCCGAGTCGTATGAAGAATCGAAGAACTCCTTTGGAGTGCCGACTGGCCACGGTAAATTTTCTAGCGATAAGGCAGTGGTAGTGGCAGTGGCAGTGGTAGTGGTGGATGAACCCAACCGTGTGTTTGTGTCCGCTGCTATTGCAGCCAGCCGCCCCTCCTCGCGGTTCTGATTGTACGGAGCGGAGACAAGCTGCAGGTACGCCGCGTAGTCATCCTGCAAATTATAGCTTGACAACAACGCCTCGGACGACGACTCGGAACCGACGGCGGTCTCTGTGCACTTTGCCGACCCCTTGTAATCCAGGGCACTGGATACGACACTGCCGAACCACGCACCCCAATTAGAGGTCTCGGTCGTCTCCTGTGGGTCGTTTAAGATGGAAATAAAACTCTGCCCAACGTTGGCGCCCAGATCGGCGAAATGTGCACGCGTGACGGGGTCAAGGGCAAAAAAGGGGTCAGCGTCCTGCAAGGCCTCCGTCACGCTTGCAGACGCTGACACCGACGCGGTCGCTTCAACAACTGCCTTCGCGAGGTCTGGCGGCACCGTGTCGTCGTCTCGGGCCTCCGATACCCAAAGTGCCAACTGTGAGCGAAGCGCCACCGACGAAACACCATTGCGGATGCACTCTTCAACTACAAGCGGGGGAACGCCAAGTGTAAGGGCTATACGAGAGCGACTCCAACTGCGCTTCGCCATGAGGAATGCACAGAGCATCGCAGCTGGATCGATGGTGTCTTCAAGTGCGCATGGAGGTGCTACACTACCTGCCTGTTGCGACAGCATACGTGCACTCCTTCCTAGGTTCCGTGGCGTTGGGAATAAAGTGGTTAGGGAGAGAGAGAGAGAAGTGGGAGGGAAAAAGCCATCCGAAAAAAGAAGGAAGCGCTAACAGAACCGATGTCCGTAACAACGAGAATGCCAGCTTCGATTTTTGCCCGTCCGCAATTCAGAAATATATATATAGTTTTGACTGATTCGAAACAACTGCGCAGGAGGAGGAGAAGGATCGCACCCACATGAGACAACCACGCGAAAATAATTTCTAAAAAGAGAGGAATGAGGCAAAGCGGAGAGAATAGTCCATGCATCACATTCCCTAATTGAAATAATAAAAAAATATGGGAGAACAGATAGTTTTTTTTGCTTTTCTCAGCTGTGCTTCTAGCAAGACGCTAAGGTCAATTGAATGCCCATTAAGGGAGTTCGAAGTGGATCCCCATTATCGGTCATAAATTCAAGACTAGCTAGACAGCACTTCCGAAAAAACGTCTTTGGCCCACCCACACAGTACGAAACGGAGAGGGATAGGCTAGGTGGACCCTCCAAGCCTAATCTTCGCCGCAATCTTTACAATAATAAACGTGAAAGATCAGCAAGTTTGACTACCAGGCGTAAGATCCCACCATTCCTTTCAGGGGCATTCTCTCATCCACCACCAGAAAAATAAAATATAAAAATGCGTTCTTAAAGAATAAATAGAGAAATCACAACATCTTTGTTTGTTTTTTTTTTGCTTTCACGAAAAGTGCTATCAAATTTTTGTTACTTCGTTCCTTGTCTTTTTTTTTTTGCGTCCATGCATACTCCTCCATTTTGCACAACCCAATCCTAAACTCAAACAAACCCAAAAGAAGTGGTGCGGAATGGTACTACTGGCGCTTTCGAGCGCAACCAATCGCATCGGCCGCTCGCAGTGCTTTCATTACGGCCTCCGGTGTCACAATACCCGCCTCGTTGTGAATTGTCTCCCCCGGTGCGCACGCTGTCTCTGCAACCTTCATGAGGGCCTCGTCACTCATTTTACTACACCCAATGTCTGCAAGCGTCGTTGGCAGCCCAACGCTCTCACAGAAGCTGTATACCTCGTCAATTACCTGAGGCGGTTTGTCGGTTAGCGTGAGCGAGGCAAGTAAGCCAATGGTGACCTTCTCACCATGCCACATGTTGTGCGCCTCTGGGAGCTGTGTGAGGCCATTGTGAATGGCGTGCGCCCCAGCAAGCCCGCCACTTTCAAATCCAAGACCAGACAAGAGTGTGTTGGCTTCAATAACACGCTCCAACGCGGGGGAGTTTGTCTTCTTTGCACAGGCTTCCTTGGCCAGAACGCCGTACTGAAGCAGCGTGTCGTAGCAAAGACGAGCGAGGCCGAGGGCCGTGTGGGAGCTGAGGCGACCCGTCAAGTTGCACCTGCGACTCACAGCGCACGACTCCGCCTCAAACCATGTGGCAAGGGCATCGCCCATCCCCGATACGAGGAGGCGCACAGGGGCCCTGGAAACAATGTCACTATCAACGAGCACCACGTTAGGGTTGTGTGGCAAGATCAGGTAGCGGTCAAATTCTCCTGATGTCTTGTATATGACGGAAAGAGCGCTGCATGGGGCATCCGTAGACGCCACCGTTGGCATCACCGCAACAGGGACTTTTAGTTGGTATGCGACCGCTTTGGCGGTGTCCACCGTTTTTCCGCCTCCAATGCCAGCAACCACGTCCACAGATCCGATCTTGCAGAGGCGATTGATCTCCTCATCAGAGCTTTCCCCCCGAAAAGCCTCCATCACAGCGTCCACCTTCCCTTCCAGCACCTTCTGAAGCCTCGGCCCATATCCCATCGAAACAGAGGGAGGCTGCAGCACAAGAGCCCTCTTACCCAAGCGTGCAAGCTCCTCACCCAACAGGTTCATGGCGCCCGGGCCTTGCACATACCGACCAGGGAAGATGGAAGTTGTGACGCCGACGCATTGCTGGGATAGAATCCTGCCCGTGGCGGTGAAGCGGCGCAGAACAGAGAAGCGCAGCATTGTTTCAAGTGATGAATGTAATAACTTGGCACAAGCACAGCAACAAAAAGAAATCATAGTCAATAAGCCATGCAGAGTTCAAATGCAAAAACAAAAAGAGATTCCTCTCATTTACGACCGTGACAACAACGACAAAAGCCCTGGGGGGTCCAGATCAAGGTCATATCTAATAGTTGAATTCTGTTCAACAAAAGACACCCCCTTGCCATTCCTCATATAATTGTAGTCATGGCGGAACCAGCAATGGGTGGCAAAACCTAGTAGATACCATAGCGATTCCCCAGAAATCCTCACGCACGTGAGGCAATGGCCTTTGTTCCCTTTGTGTGAAGCAAACAAAGAGTACGAAAGCCAGCTGTGTATTGAAACATGAAACCATGCAACCAGAACGATGGGAGGCACCAGGCACCCTGTGCGTAGTAATTAACAAACAACACAGAAGTCCTTCCCCTTCCACGGCATACATTCAAGAAGAATAAGCATCCCATCCTCAAAAGAAATCGGCGTATCATTTCTTTAGTGCTGAACGTGATGCACAGTAAAGGATTCATCCTCGTCCACGGGACTATCAATCTCCCATCCGCCATCCTCCTGATAGCGGCTCCGCGGCGCATTCAAGTTTGCACCACCGCCCGACAAGGTCGAAACGCTCAATGCGGAAACTCCAGCAGAATCCCGGCCTTCCATCCCTACGGCATGGTCATACCGTGCAGGTGAGGGTGGCACCTGCACACGACCGGGAAGTGATCCCTCAGAGTCAGTGTCACTGTCTGACTCCTCTTTGGCTACCGATGCCAGCCCATTCCCCCTAGGAGGAAGGGGCACAGCAGCTGCCGGAGGCGGTGGCACCTGCACACGAACGGGAAGCGACCTCTCAGAGTCAGTGTCATTGCCAGTCCCATCTTTGGCTACCGATGCCAGCCCACTTCCCGTAGGAGGAAGGGGCACAGCAGCTGCTGGAGGCAACGCGCATTCTCTAGGAGGGGGTGTCGTCGGGGGTACAATGGTGCGTTCAAACAAAGGTAGATCGGCGTCAGTTTGTCTACTGTTTTCGTCTCTTATAGGATTCTTGTCGTCTGTGGAATTCTTTGTGACCGAGTAGTTGGTGCTGTTTCTCGTTAGTACCATGGAAACCTCCTCTTCACTAGGGGCACCAGTGGCAGCGGTGTGCCCCTGGAGAGCGTGGGCAATTTCAGTTGAACTGCTCAGAGAAACATCCTTAACGCGGCTACGAGTGCTATCAGAGTGACTGAGCGTCCCTTCCCGATTCAAAACATCACGACTAGGACATTCTTGCAAGGGATCAGATTTGAGCAGTGGGTTTCCCCCCGCCTCAATGTTGCCCCCACTGGAGCTTTCCATGAGTGGGGTGCTAGAAGACGCCGAAAGAGATGAGGTAGGCGCCACGCTGGTGGGAGACATCGTCGAGACGGTTGAAGCTGGTGCATTTTCCGGATGCAGACTATACCTGCCTTGCACCGGCGATGCTTCCTGTTTCGCTCCCTCAACCTGCTGGAGCTGCATGCTGCTTAATAACACGCGCAGCTCCTGTTGTCGTTGCTCTTGATTTTCCTTTAGAGTTTTTATTTGCTTCTCCAAGCGATTCTTTTCAGCGGTTGTCTCCAACGCTAAGTGTTCATGTCTTTCCTTCCACAATATGGAAGCACGCTGCAATTGAGCCTCTTTATCCTTTGCCAATGCACGCTCCTGTTGAAGGGCCTCCTGAAGGCGCATCTCCAGGTCTTGGTTTGCCTCTCTCTGCAGGCGCACAAACTCTCGTCGCTGGGCTTCATGCCGGATGCTCTGCTCCTTCAAGACACCTAGCAAGGCATCGCGCTCATTGATGACAACGAGTACTTCGGCTGGGCCACCCACAGCCTCCATTACACGTTCAAACTCGCGGAGCCTCCCCTTCGCTTCCGTGAGGTCACCACGGGTGCACTCTAACTCCTCCCGTGTTTGCGTTAGCAGAAGTGTTGTTTTTCGAAGCACACACAGCTCCTTGCACAGCGCATCATTCTCCTCCTGAAGCTGCTCTACCGTGCTGTTGGCTCGCATCGCGTCATCGAGGGAACGCCTCAGCGCCAAGGCATTCTCTGCCAGTTCGTCTTTCAACTTCTGGATCACGTTATCCTTATCCTGTGCAACTTCAAGAGCCTCGCGAAGTCGGGACCCCATACAAGCCCTACGTATGTCCTTCTCACGAGCACTGTGGTCCAGAGACGAGAGGCGCGTCACCTCCGCTCGATATACTGCCAATTCCGCTTTTAGCTCCTGCAATTGGGCAACACGGGCATCACGCTTCCACGACATAATTTGCATGTTCGCCTCACGCAGCCTCCTCTCCAACTCCATATTTTCATCAACGAGCCGCTTCATTTCTGGATCCATGCTGGAACCCTCATCCTCGAGGACAGAGTCTCTTTCCTTTGCCATATTCCGTACCATGTGTGCACGAAGAGCACGGACCGTCACCTCAAGCTTCTTCATCTGCTCGTTTTTCTCGCGAAGTTCCGCTTTACATTCGTTTCTATCACGCGTAAGAATAAATACCCGCTCATCCGCAGAAAAAGCATCCCGGGCATCGACGACCTGATCACGAAGTCGCTTGCTGCGCGGCTCCCTGTACGGCGCACCGACATCCCGTGCTGCCTTCGACGCAGACACAGAACGTGAGCGGCGGTGCCTCGGCGCCACACGGTCGAAGCCTGGTCGATTGCACGGACAATGTGGGTCACGTGAAATATCGCCCATGCGCCGTGTGCCCCCTTGTGCCGTGCTTAAAGGCCCCGTCGTGGAGTCCGGTGCTGTGGACGAGAGAGTTCGTTTGTCTATAAAGATGGGACGGGTCGCGCGACACGGCGCGACCTTCGTATCTATTACTTCGCCTTCATATGGCCCCATCGGTACGGGGATTCGCGCCGTGCGGGGCTCATGGACATCAGCGGATACACCCTCCAAATCCCCTGGCTCAACTTGTATGTTTTCCTGACCCGATGTTCTCCTCCCCATCCATCTACAGCCACTTCAGTTTGTCTCATTTTGTTATTTAGTCGGTAGGAAAGAGTTGAAATGAGGAAGAAATACCACAAAGCGTGTGAGGTAAACGCATATTGGCACCGCCATGTATGCCGCATTGATCAACAACACAAAAGAAACACACTGCCAGCGTGAATATGTTGCGGAAAGAGGAAGATTCCATCTACGGTGGTTCCACCACACATGCAGAGAAAAATGGAAAAGCAATTTCCACGATCAGAAACACGCGAGGCACACCCTCAAGCAGCCTACAAAAAACACTCTACGTGGATATGCATATGGCAAACATACACGGAGAGCAAGGTCAACAAGAAAAAAGAAAACATAAAGCGCATACCATGATGATCAGAGGAATCGACCTCGCCCCTCTCACGTAGCACCGCAGTGCCTTCTGAAAGGTCCGTTGTCTTTTTTTTTGTGTAGTTGTTCCTTCCATTTTACTTCACTTTATCAGGAGAAGAGAAAGGAGTTTTCATGGAACCTTTCCGACCAGGTGCATTCCGCTCCAGCTCCTCTACTATCCAAGTCACTCCCATGTCCAAACCATCTCCGGTCTTGGCAGAGCACGGCTGAACCTGCCAATGGCGATTACTCACGTCATTTAACCCCAAAATAGTGGTGATTTCATCAGCCGTTACAGCTCCAAGGATGTCTTGTTTGTTCGCAAACACTAAAAGCGGTACTCCAGTTAGTTTTTCCTCTTCCAATATGTGATGTAACTCCGACTTCGCTTCTTCTACCCGCTGCATATCAGATGTGTCAATAACAAAAACAAGCACATCGGTCTCACCAAAGTATTGACGCCAGTAGTGCCGGATCGAATCCTGCCCCCCAATGTCCCAGACATTAAGCTTCAGTCGCCCTGCAGTAAGGGTCTTGATGTTAAACCCCTGCGTCGGCATGGTGTTGGAGGTGTCATCATCGCTCAGTTTCTTGAGGATGCATGTCTTTCCAGCATTGTCTAAACCAAGGATAAGGATCCGTCTGATTCTACGAGATGAGGGTTTCATCCTGAGCAGCAGATCCAGAAGGCCCATGTGAGGCCCAGTCTCCACGTCGCGTGAAATGTAGGGCCAGTTTCTAGTTTTTACTGTCGCTATACCCGCAGGAGTTCAACGAGGAGGAAGGAAGTGCACGTCACACAATGACAGTAAAGCAAAGCAGAGAAACCGAGACGTATAGGGAAAAGCAAATACCACCAGCAGTGTCACTGTAAGCATGCACATAAGTTGCCCTTCCTACTCTCGCCGCATGCTCTCTTTCTCTCTCCCTGTGGCAGTGAAGCAAAAAAAAAAAACGCAGCGCGTGGTAAAGAAAGAAGAATATCAGAGGATTTTTCACTCCCTTATCACTTCAAATGTCCCATCATCAGGCAATTTTTTATCCTCTTCCTTTCCTCCCTCCCCCTCGGTCGCATCGTGGCCTTTACTCCGTCTCACCCCCTTTTTATCACTGTGGCGGTTGTGACTTTTATGCTTCCTGTGGTGAGCACGTGACACGCCATCTTCAACGTGAGCCGCATCCAGAGCGCTTTGCATTTCTCGCAAAAGGACACTGACATCAGCCTGAATGAAGGACGTCTCCGACACCACAGGCGTAGCATTCCAAACAGGAACCTCCAGACCTGGATGTGCCTTGGCCTCCATGCGTGCGCCCCCGGCATCTGTGGTGGAGCACTCCTCCACTGCGGCATCTGTGGTGGAGCACTCCTCCACTGCGGCATCTGTGGTGGAACGCTCCTCCGATGCACCCGTCAAGAAGAAGGCGTCGTCCAAGTTATCATTCCCTCCAACTTCTAGAGCACTATCAAGCCCATCAAGGAGAGCACACCCCAACTTTTCTGCTCGTAGTTCCGCCTCATCATTTCCCGGGCAAGAAGCTTCTTCAGCAGTCGCAACCCCCGTCCCATCATGTTGCAGCACTGGTGGTGGTGGTGGTGGTAATAATGATAATGCTGGCATGGCACTGGTGTTGGAGATCCGGCTACTGCCTCCACCACCGTCACCTCTTTCCCCCACCATCGTTAAGTTTTCCTTTTCCACCGCCTCACCCTCATCCTCTTCAAATCCGTCAAAAAAGCCCTTCACAATACCGTTCTCGCTCTCCTCTTCCTCCTCCTCCCCCCCAACATGTCGTATCACACGACTGCCACCTCCGACTATCAAGGAGGCATGAGCTCCCCCTTCCGATGCACCTGCATCGCAGTTTGTTTCCTGCTGCAGAGGAGCACCAGCAACCCTCACTGCTTGATACTCGTTTGCCTGCAGACTCCGTCGCTCCTCCTTCGCCAAAAAGTGAAGGTTTGCCCGCTCACAGAGCAGCCAAGCCTGATGCTGTTCAACAAACTGAAAATACGTTTGTATCTCACTCTCTAATGATAACACCTTGAGAAACACATAAGGAATTTCAAAGGTATTGCGCAGGAGCTCCATACCATAGCCCGTTGCAGCGCTGATGTCCATCCATGTCGGCGAAACTGAAAAATATTCAGGCGGGGAACGACCAGCAGATGCTGCCAGAATCATTGGCGTCGTCGTTCGGCGAAGGGCCTTGCACGCAGCATCAACATCACGGTCTAGCACAACATGAGTTTCTTTGGGCGCGTCATGAAAGTTTAATATGAAAAGAACGCATGTAGTTGGAGGTACGTGTCCCGCTTCACGCACTGCATACTCCAGAGTTTCCTTCCGAGTTCGATCAATAACAAATGCGGCCAGATGACAGTTACGGTACACATCGATTGAGCGTGCGTCCGCCAGAACGGAAGGCAGAGTCATGCTTCCCTGTGGCGCTCTTCGGAACCCCTCGTCGACAACGTCCCAGAGCTCCACCTTGGCGCCGCCCCCTGTCCTACCGGTGTGATCGCGGTAGAAAATGGTCCCCGCGCTGATCTCAGGGGAGGGCGCGTAGTCGGCAGGGAAGGAGTAACCGCACAGCCGCGACACAATCGTTGACTTTCCCGTGCGACGCATTCCCCGCACAACAGCCTTCATGTTGAGGTGTGTGCCTTCCTGTATCTCCCGCTGCACATCAGGATGAACAGGCCAGATACTCGGGCTGCCAGCGGAAGAACTTCTCTGCAACAAACCACGAATGTCACCGCTGTCGCCACTTCTGTTATTCTGTACTCTGGGTTCAGCATCCTCTCCACGAAAGGCAGCCTTCACCCTCTTGAGGAATGACATGCTGTCTTCAAATGACACGACCCTTTTTGTTGGCTTTCGCGGTAAAGCATGGCGAAGAAGAGTGTTGCTGCAAGGAAAACCCCCAAAAATAGCGTTTGAAAGTGAAACTGCGACAGGACACTAAGAGCAGCGCACTGTATGGCCCAACAGCCGTAAACCCCCAAGTTTGTTGGCTCTAGCATATGCAGCGAAAAAGCGCACATCTCTCCCTTTTTTTTTTCCACAGTCCTTTTTTCCCCTTTTTCAGATGTGTACTCTCCTTCACGTGAACGAGTGTGCACCCCGCCTACTACCACGGAGCGGCCCTTTTCTTGCCACGAGGCATGCAACAGCCATCAGTGCAACGCATCATCAAAGAAGCTGACATTGCTTTTTCCTTTTCTTTTTCTTGTCACCTAACTTCTTCTCATCCAGATCCACCCGACGTGGTGGTTTCGCACCATTGTCTGCAGGGGCTGCACATGCAGCCGCATCCGCGGCTCCGGCTGGCGGCGCCTCCGACACCGCACGCTGACCCTCCGCCCGCTCCTCGCTAAGGCACATGCCAGCCGTGTACTCGAAAAGTTGAGTCACATTGAAGTCATCCTTCGTGGATACACGAAAAAAGGGCAGCTGCAGTTGTATAGCGAGCTGCTCTGCCTCTTCATTTGTAATGGCAGCCTCATGCGCGAGGTCAAATTTCGTCTGACACAGCACCATTGGGATGGGGCCGCAGACATTTTCTACATTTTTCTTCCAATTTCCCATGTTCATGAAGCTGTCCTTATCAACAGTGCTGAATGCCAGTATCGCTGCACCAGCGCCACGGTAATAAGCCTGTGTGAGAGAGTTGAACACTTCTTGTCCAGCCGTGTCCCACAGCATTAGTTTCACGGTTGTGTTGGAGTAACGAAGAAAGACATTTTTCTCCATGAATTCAGCTCCAATAGTCCGCTTGTATTGACTCAAAAACTCCCCCTTGACGAAACGTCGCAGCATCGACGTCTTACCAACATTTCCATCGCCCACAACAATCACCTTGATGCTGTTCTCCGCATTTTCCAGCATTGTTTAGCGCTTCCACACAGCGTTGCAAATGCACTGAATTCGCCCAGTCAAGGGCCGACTGGTGAAAAGGCTCAGCTATAACGCCCTCAACTACAAAAAAAAACTTGAAGAATGCTACAACAGTCAAGCGGAATGAGCAGAAAAGAAGGCAAAGCGTACACTTTTTATTTGAGCACTCAGGCATCCCTGGCTTCCTTCCAGCATTACACAGCGCAATCTACATTTCAGGAAAGAAGTCTTCAAATAAATAATAGATAATAAGGAAAAAACACAAAAGTGTGCCTGCCTCACCGAACTTTTTACTCTATTTTACCGCAGAGAGACTACAAAAAGACGGCTCAAAGCACAAAAGATCAACAGGGAAGGAGGAGCCTTCTAGAAGTTGCACTTCTCCACCAAGCGCTTCGTCTCATCGCTCAGTGACGCAGGCATGTCCACGGCAATTGTGACGTACATGTCCCCATTCCGCCCTGACTTACGATCCAGGAAGCCCTTCCCACTCACCCGAAGTTGGCGTCCGTTTTTACTTACGCCCGTCAACGGCAGCGCCGCCGTAGTTCCATCGAGGCACAAGACATTCACTGTGGTTCCAAGCAACGCCTGCTTCAAGTTAATATGCACCGTGGTACGGACGTCCGCGCCACTGCGTTCAAAGCGCGAATGTGGCTTCTCATCGAGCACAAAAACCAAATCTGCCATGACATTTGGCGGATAGCCTTGCACAATGCCTCCTTCCCGTTCAAAACGAATCTTCGTACCCTTCTTATACCCGGGGAGTACCTTAACCTCGAACATCTTTTTTTCTGTCCCACCAGGCAGAACACGTGACACGTTGAACTTCTTCGTACATCCACTGTGAATCTCCTCCAGCGTGCAGGCAAACGTGTACTCCATGGGTGGAGCTTCGTGAACAGGCGACATCTCTGGTGAACCAAACCCGGTCGTGAACCCTTGAGGGCCGCCAAAGCCACGAAACACGCGGTGAAGGCCAGGCCCACCACCGCCAAATTCTTCACCACCTGCAAAAGGGTCATTAGAGCCAAAAAACGTTTGAAAAATATTAAAAGCATCACCTTGCGAAAAGGTGTACCTGGCACCACCGGGGAAGGCATTATGAAACTCCGCACCCTCAGCATCACCTCCCCCGCTCGGAACGCCACCCTTCAGTCCCTCTTCACCATACACATCATATATTTTCCTCTTGCTCTCATCACTCAGCACATCATAGGCCTCAGACACCTCCTTAAAGCGCCGCTCTGCCTCATCTCGGTTTCCCGTACACTTATCTGGATGATACTTCAGTGCCAACTGGTGATATGCCTTCTTGATCTCGTTCGCAGTGGCTTTCCGCCCTACACCAAGAACCTTGTAATAGTCGATTCCCATAGCTACCCCCTACAAACTTATACTAAAAAAACAAAAAAAAATAAAAAATCAAAACCAGAAAAACACAACAGAACGAAACACAACAACAAAAAAAAACTAAACGCCGCAACCTTTTAAACCCTATTAAACATCCTCTACGCTGTGTTCCTCACTAGAAGCAAAAAAAAAGTGGTGCACCCGCACACAGGAGCTTCCCCATTACAAACAAAAATAAAATCTATTCAGTGCCCCTCTCCAGCATGTCTTTATGGCACCACCCATACGTGGGCCCCACAAATGCTCTTCCCAACATTCAAGATGGATTACATATGAAATCCCCCAGCGACCTGCACCAGGGGGCGACAAAGGTATCGGCGGCCCAAGTTTGTTGCACTGGATCACGCCGCCCCTCAATACAGCGGGGTGCGTCGTTTTTACCATGTTCCAATGGGGGAAGGGGAAAATGAAGAATAAGAGGGAATGAAAAAAAAAAA